TCCACAGAACCCACAGAGCCCTTGGCTCCCTTTGCTGTGTTTGGAATTTTGGAATTATTAAAGGCAGGGCAGTGTTTGCAGCTGAGTATGTTAACCTACAAAACATAGAGAAGGGAACAGACACATAAAGCCGAAAGGCTCTAGGCAAGATGCATGAATACCACTGAGACCTCAGGAGGAGTCAGGAAAGAGTTTATTTTATATTATTTGAAGAAAATACTCAGATACTGAATAAGCATATTCTAACTGTAGACTGCTCATAAGAGCATTTCTTTATGTTGGGATGTGTAAGTAATAGATGGCTCTTACTGTTGGATTTTTATTAGTACTAGATTCTGAATGTTTTGCTTTATCTTCCCCATAAGAGCTTTAATTCTCTTTAGACAGTCATTCATTCCAATTCACCCATGATTAGAAGAACCAAGGGCTGTGGGTTTGAGGCTTTACTTAGTTCCAACTTTGAGTAAAGTAGTACTTCCTCCAGTCTTCAAATAGCCCCATGGCACTTGGCAGCCATATGCCCAATGCATCAGGATTTGGATTTTTGTTTTATTTGCTAGGTTAAGTCACATAGGTCCCTTCTTAGATTGCCTAGGCTATGCTGTTCTTGCCAGCCTCCTCCTGCCCCTGCCTCCTTCTGCCCCAGCCACCTCCTGCCCCCTGCCTCCCTCTTCCCCAGCCTCCTCCTGCCCCTGCCTCCTGTGTAGCTGGGACTGTAGGAACCTAATGACTAGAAGCATCAAGGACTTTAGAGACAGTAGATAATGAGAGTAGATCAAGATAAGGCATTTGGGGAAATGGACATTTAGTTAGAAGTATTTATTACATAATGCACAGAAGGATAGCCCATAAATGAACAGAAGACCATAGCAAACAATTTGCAACAGAGATGGCCCTATTCTGTTAAAGTTTTAATTAAATGAGAATAGTGGCCAGAGTCATCCCAACAGAGGGTAACTTGGAAGGAAATTCTTGGCAGGACCTGCTTCTTACTAAGCATCATCTCTCGCCAAGTATGTTTCTTCCTCGAACCCTCTCAATGAGTCATTACTACCCCTCCTTACAGATGAGTCAAGAATGTAGAGGGCAAAGAACATGGCCAAGATCCCACAGTCTGTCAGCATTCTGTGGGCTGTCTCTTGCCTGCTATTCTGGATTTACAGTTTTCGATGAATCCAGAAGAAATGTGGTTCAGGTGATTTCTCAGCCCTTTACCTGCTTCCACACATTAGCTTCTGCATTTGCAATGGTTTCCCTGAGTGTAGCCTCTTGAAAGTGCTCTTCTTGGTTCAGGATACTTGCCCCAATATCTGTGTATTTGGACAAAAATCATTACAGGTCCCTGTAGACAGTTCCCTGGCTTTCCTTTCTACCATTAGCTAATTATTTATGCGAGCCATCTAGGAGACACGTCCTATTAGGTGATGTCAATCATTTTCATTTCTTTTGACACTAAGAATTGAACCCATTGGGCTAAGCATGCTCCTTTCCACTAGGATGTATCTCCAGCCTCCACTCTCCTCACTGGAGATGCCCACTGGAAGGGCAAGTTTTCCACTAACTGATTAAGAGGGAGCTCATCATGTAGGCACAAATAGAGTCAGTTAGCTTTTCATACCCCAGTCTAAACAGTCGGCAATGAAAGACGAATGCCTTGCAAAGTGTGGCAGACTCAAAGCAGAATGTGGAATCATAGGGCTTTGGCACATTATACATCTCTCTCCTTGCTTCTGACAGGGT